AGGGTTTAGGATTTAACCAGAGCCCGCAAGAGACGAATAGCGCCCGTATGTCGCAGGTGGTGACGCATTCCAAGCTGTAGGCACTGACTGGAGCTTGCCCGAAATTGAGAGCCCACTCTGCAACTCGAAACCCTCAACCCAAGACTCTGCACGTTTGCAACACCTAAACCTACGATGGAAAGCTGAGCCCCTAAACCCTGAAATCTTGAATCCCAAAGCCCTAAACCCCTAAGCCCCTAAACCCTCCACCCCTAAGCCGGCCAGACCAGCAACTTAGCAGGGCTTCGACTTCTCAGGCTTCAGTCTCTCCTAGTTCCGGAACTCCTCACTGATGAGATCCAAGGCACAAAGTATAATATCGAAGCCGAAATAACCCTACACCCTACACCCTAAACCCATTACCATGATTATTCCCCAGAGCTCCTTACTGTGGTTATATACTGTAAAACAGGCCCAAACCCTGACTTTAATCAAGCTCTAAAGCCTGAGCACTACAGACCCAAGTCTCCTAAAACCCAAACCCGAGACCCCAAAAGCGCTAATCAGGAATAGTCATCCTTAAAGAGAGCCTTCAAACAAAGACAAGCCCTAAACCCTTAGCCCTTAAATAAAACCCTAAACCCTTAAACCCTAAACCCGTAAGGCCGTTAAAACCCTTAAACAAACTAAAACCGTACATGTTTGGCAGGTGAAAGGCCCCCTCATAGATGCAACGGATGTCTATCTGAATCGGAAGGACGCTTGCAAGGGAGCCCTTAAAGGGGGTTTAGAGTTTAGGGTTTAGGGGACGCTTTTATAGGGTTTAGGGTTTAGGTGCCTCTAGGCGGTTTGGAGTTATAGGCTGTTTAGGGCATGGGGGGGTTACTGGGTTTAAGGGTGAAGTTTGGGTTTTGGCGGCTGAGGTGTTAGGATGCAATGTTCTGTTAGGTCGTCCAGTTGCAGGGGGGGGGGTCAAGTTTTGGAAAATCCTGAGCTATAAACCCGAAACTCTAAACCCTAAACCTTATAAACGCTAAACCCTAAACCTTATAAACGCTAAACCCTAAACCTTATAAACCCTATAAGCCCTACATACCCTATGGTAGCTTCCGCAGGGCTGAAGCGCTCAGGGCTTCTGCTTCCGGAAATGACAAGGCGTTTAGGGTCCTTAAAGGGGGCCTATAAAGGTTACAGTACGGGTTCTATAATATAAGGGTTGCGGTGTGGGTTTAGGGTTTAGGCCTTATTTGGCACAACCTGATTAAGAAACCTTGGGTCTTTATCAGAGTTCCCTGCGTGACTCCTAATATTATGGGGTTATTGGGCCAGGGTTTCTTAATCAGGTTCCTACGTTAGGGTCTCTGGGATCAAGGGGATTTTTAGTGTAAGATGTTTTGGGAATTAGGGCTTCTGAGTTTACGAACATGAGTTTATATTATAAGGGTTTAGGGTTTAGGGCTTAAGGTTTAGAGTTTAGGGTGATATTCAGTCAGTCATTTGGGATTTTGGCGCTTTGCTTGGTCTGTGTACTACTTGGAGGTTCATGCGTAGTTATAAGTGGGGTTATAAGTAGGGTAACTATGGTTATAACCCAAATTAGGGCACTTATAACTACCCATGAACCTCCAAGTAGGGCTTGAAGGCTGCAAGCTCTTGCGGCTTCATGGATTCAGGCTCTACCTTGAGCTTCCAAATCCTACTTTAAGGCTAAATATGAATTTCAGTTCATAGGGACCCTACGAAAAGAAGTAGGTGTCGGTAGTTCAAGGTAATTATATAGGGCTTCTGTGCTCTGGGCATAATCGGAAGGATTCATCACAAGTTGCCTGAAGTGTCAAGCAGGGGTTGCGATTTGTTTAACGATTTGTTCACGATTGCAGCGTTTGGAGGTTCTTACGGGGGTGAGTTTTCGGGTTTCGGGCTTGGGATCAGGGTTTATACTTAGATCCTAAGCATGAGACTTCGGCGGAGCTTGGGAGGCCGAAGGTTTCAGTACAGAGACATTGTGCAGCCATCTGACAAGATAGTACGGTTTTCGGCACCTCCCGATTCCCGATCTTCGTCCGGGGACTGGCTTCAGGATTCAATTTGAGTTTAGGGTTTAGTGAGGTAAGAATCAAGCCGCGGTTTCTGGACAGGACAAGTACGAACAAAGCATGCGCAATCTGGATGATGGTGAACGGAAGCAACACCGGCTCATCCACATGATGCGCACTTCTTTGAAGAATCAGCATGGGAGACTCGGCCGCAGCAACCATGGACCCTGCATATGTTTTTTTGGACGCAGGGGTTGCTAGTTCCGACAAAATCCAAGGTTCTAAGTAGTCTGATCGAAGACAGTCGAGGCCCCAAAGACGTACAAAGATCTTGTCATGTGCTGGTGCTGGGTTTTGGTATTGGGGGGCATGTCTCGGAGGTGCGCAAGTTCAAGGTTTGGGGTTAGAGTTTCAGGGGCTTGAGGGCTCTTCGTCGAATGCTCTTCCCTGGCCCATGCGAGACCAAACCTCTAGGCACGACACTTCTTATGTAAACTCTCAACGCTGAAATCCTAAAGACTCTAATCCCTAAACCCCTAAATGACTCTTAAAGACTCGAATCCCTAAACCCCTAAATGACTCTAGCAAGAACCCGTATTAGAAGCCCCGTAGAGCCCTGACATCATACAAAGCCTTCAGCAAAAAGCTCTTCGTCTCCCATGGACTCAAATGAATTTGGGGGAACCGCGGTGAGGCTCTTCTCCCAAAGGGCTTCCGGTTCAAATGGCTTCGGGTTGAGGGTATAGAGTATACAGACCGTACTATTTAGAATAGGGTTTTGGATGAAGAACTCTGAGGAACCTTCTTGGCGCCCAATTACTCAGGCTCCTATACTGCGGTTTGGGTTTAGGGTTTCGACTTAGGGTTCAGAGTCAGCCACTCAGCTGAGGGAGCACATGGAAGAGTTCCAGAACATTTTAGATGCGGATCTCGATGAGCTCAACTCCTCAAACTCCTCGAGTAGTCGGTGCCTCAGATCCTTGAACAGCTCGTAATGCTAGAAGACGATGTAACTACATAGCTG